ACGGTACCCGGTGTCTGCGATCAGTTGGTGGGTGGCAAGTGGTCGGCATCCGACGTTGACCGTGAACGGCGTGCATATTGCATTAATAAAAAAATTAAAAAGTATAAGAGAGAGCTATACAAGCTATACAAAAAATGCAGTGTGGTCGGTGTCAGCCTCTCTAAAATGCGAGATCACAAGTGTGAACTTCGCAAACAAAAAACCTATCCAAAGCAAACCTAGCACAAAAATGAACTGCTTTGTTACATTATCTGTGGGGAAAAAAAGAAAAGAACTTGTCTAAATTCAAATAGAAAAAAACTAAATCATGTTCGTTATTGAGCTGTTGGTGTCGAGCTCTATCCTCCATCTTTCACTGAAAATACTGGATGATTGTGTCATTGCCATCCTCAGTGTTGAACCCCTAGCTTTCATTCATCCAAGGCTTTAAGAGAGTACCAAGTAAAATTACAGCATGCTCCACCTCTGAACTATCGCAGTGTAGAAGTCGTTGCCAATTCACAAGAATTGTTTCGCCAATTTTGTCGCGAATCACCATGCTCAGCTTGGCCATTAAAGAAAAAGGGCCTCATCAATATTAGCTTTCAACCTTTGGGGGGGGGGGGGGGGGGGGGGAACAAGACGGATGTGGCGGCCCAACAGGCTGAATGGTATCCCATTATTTTGTGATGTGAAAGGAGTTCAATTAAGGGGAGAAGGAATACAGACTGCCTTAACCACCTGCATGCCATGCAGCCGGTTATGCCTGTTGGCATTACAAGCCCTCAAATTTTGGTAAACCGCATGACAGTAAATCCGTCCAATAGCTAGCATGGAGTGGCAGACGGGACGTGGCGGTGCCGCGGTGGATGATGGTTTGATGATAATATTTTTTATTAATGAACGGTGTTGATCTTAAATTCTGCTAAATCGGGCGAATTCTAAATTCACCCGAAATAAACTAAGGTGTAAATTTTAAATTAATTTATACTTTATAATATCTTTAAAATTATTTGTAACAAACACATAATTTTTGAAAATCTATGCAAAAGAATTAAATTACACTATAAATTTTCCCACTAAACTTCTAGAAAACTTGATTTACACTAGATTGAGAAATTATAAAAATATCTGAAGTTAGTTGATTGTCAATGACTTTTGTGTTGCACCATGTAGGAAACCTTTTAGATGTGAAATGGTGAAAACTAGTGCTTCAATTTTTTGTGATGTCCATTATTTGATGGCAAGGATATGTCATTTTCAAGTATCACTTGGTTTGTTATCATAAATTTATTTATGATATGTAGGGCTGTAAATAAATTGAGTGTTCAAAAAATTACTTCTAGCTCAACTCGATTATAGCTCGTTCATGATCATTTACCTAAGTAATCAAGTAAGCTTGAAAATTTTTTTGAATACTTGATTATTAATTAACATGTTTAAACATTCTATTACTCGATTCATTTATGATCAAGAATAATATCATTTAACGATCATGAACAAGCTCGTTTTGATTCTTGATTAAATATTGAGATTGGCATAAAACTAAATATAAATTATAACTTAAAATTTACTTTAATTTAAATGAATTATGATTAAAATGTTATAATTTAAAGTCTTAAGTCATTATGATTTAACACTAAACTAGATTCATTTTTTATCATGAATAATATTATTTAAAGACAATAAACAAGCTTGTTTTGATTCTTGATTAAATCTTGATTTTGAATTAAAACTAAACATAAATTGTAACTAAAATTATTCTTTAATTTAAATAAAATATGGTTAAAATCGAATTTAGTTTCAAATTACTTTCTTTTCATTATTAACTATAGAAATTGTCAAGATCAGGTTCAGGGCTTGGAATTAACCGAAAGTAGAACAAATAGCCGGACAGTGGAAAATATGTTTTATATTATTCTATTTCTATCACTAACAGTTATTATCCATAATTTCAATGAAAGAACCACTAAATAATTCAATTAAATTAAAAAAAAAATTACTTTTAAGGATGTTATTCACCCCTTTTGTGAACTGTATCTCCTCTTTTGTTTGTCTTATTCAAAAGTACATATTTAAGGTTATTTTTTTAAGGTATTTTAGGAATCAGAATTTTCAATGAAATTTTTTTTTTTTTTTTTACTCTTATTCCATATGTAATGTAATATTTCTCTATTATGCAATAAAGTGTTTATTGTTACTCTATTGATTTAAGTAATAAATTCTTTTTATTTTGGATCTATATTGATTTTATTAATAATGTATTTATAATTTTTATTTAAACTTTGGGATTTTGATGTATTTATAATAGATTATTTTCAAATTGGAGTGGTAGGTCTTTATGCTTGTATGATGAGAAAGAATATTGAGATTATTTAGAAAATGGAGAAGTTTTAGGGCATCTATTTTAAAGTCGTATATCGTCATGTGGATAAGATATACGAATTCTATATTGTAATTCAAAATTTCTTTAGTCTTTTGCATGTGTTATTATATGTAAATTAGATTATTGGTTGACTGTAACAGAAAATCTTCATATTGTAAGATGCATGCCTACAACTTACCACTCATGTATAAATGACAAATTTTGACAACATAAGTTCTCAAATAAATTCTTTATGATTATATAATTAAATTATTAGTTGGTGGTACTCATAAATAAAGACATTTGATATATGTAAACAGTATATTTGTATATACTGTTATTTAGCATATTTTAAAATAATTCACAAATTTATTTATATGTTCAATGATGAAGGTATGTTGAGTTTAAGAAATATCATGTTATGGAAGATAAATTAGTTAAAGTAATTGCATGATGGGGCAAAAAGGTTTCCAATGGGGCAAAATGGTCCCCTATGGAGGCAAAATGGTTTTTAATAAAGTTCAATAACGATAATTTTGGGTTCAACTTAGGGACTATTGAACTTGAAAATGTAGTATCGATGCCTTTATGATAGCCAATAACCTAGACAACCGTACATAACAAATTGTGAAACTAAATGAAATACAATGCATAAAATAGTACATAGGAAGATGAAGGTTTAAGATACTTAAATTAATACTCAAGTAACTAGATATTTGACTGACACAATGTACTGTGAGCAATTGCTTATAAAATCATGTTGTTATTTCGTGTATTAGTATTTTAATGTAATTTTTTTTGAAATCAAAGTTTAATTTTCACTCTTATAGTGATGTACGGATCACATGTACTTAGTTTATGATTATGTCTGTACATGATTAGTATTCATGCTGTTTCCTTTTCTTCAGTACTTGAGTTTTATAGGAGAATTATTTATCTTTTTGGGCCTCATAGCTCACGAGATTATGATTATTATTTTTGTAGAAAAATGAAACTAAAATATTGAGGCAGAAGAATATTAATTCAATTTTTGGTCACATTCCATGAAACTATTATAAGACAGAAATTTTTAAGACATCTATGAAATTTATATTTTTTACTTTCTTTTAGATGCTTTGTAGATATATTTAAATCAAATATTTTTTATTATCTTTGCTTAATTTGTAATTTTCACTTTTATTGGATTTTGTGTAAATAAGAGTGATGTTAAAGAAATCAAAGCATTCTCATCTCAACAACACTTAATTTAGTTTTATGCTTCTCTTTTAGAGGCCAACATTCTGTGCCATAAAGAAGTGCACATCTCATCTCCATCTTCTAAAATTTTCCGTTGAGTCCAAGCAGTACTTTTCTATCACAAAATAGACCCGATGCATTCCTCCACTTCAACCTACCAACTTGAATTCTACTAATAACATTCCCATCTATATAACCATCACTTTGAACAATAGACTCGATATATTTAAAATGCTCACACCTTTTAATGATTTGATGACTTATAGCTGCAACTCTGCCACTAGAAGTACTACAACTAAAACTACATTCCATGTATTTAGTTTTAGATCTACTCAAACGAAGACTTTTAGATTCTAATGTAGTCCTCCATAATACAAATTTTTTTTGAACTCTCTCTAGTTTTATTCACAAAAAAGATATCATTAGTGAAAGGCATACACAAAGGTACGTTATCTTGTCAATGTTTAGTAAGATCATTCATAACTAAAGCAAGAAGGATAAGGGTTTAAAGCTGATCCCTGATGTAAACCGGCTGAAATAGAAAATACTTGGTCAATCCTCCTGTCTGAACACAAGTAATAACTTTAGTATACATATCTTTAATCTGTCTGAACACAAGTAATAACTCTAGTATACATATCTTTAATGATTTGAATATAAGTCATATCAACGGAAAATATTTGCGTACATAAGATGTACGCAGCGCTGCGTACGTCAGGGGTTATTCCGGGGTACAAGAGAGTTATATCCGGGTTATACTCCCCTGTAACCTCCGTATAATTCCCTTGTAACCTCCGTGTAACTTTTTTGTACCCATGAAACTACAGAAGCGCATAACTCATTTGTAGGTTACAGGTATTTTACAAAGAGGTTACAGGGGAGTTACAGAGGGGTATAACCCCGATATAACCCTCCTGTACCCCCTGAATAACCCCTGGGCATACCCATCGCTGCATACGTCTTATGTATGTAATTTTTTTCCCATATCAACACCTTTCTTTTTTGGAGCTCTCCAAAGAACTTCTCTTGGAACCTGTTTGATACCAGAACTAATAGGAAATCAACGAACACTCAAAAAAAATTTATTAATACTGAATTAGGGTTACAACCGACACAAACTGAAACGAGAAATACAAGAACAACTCATCTCCGACTAGGACAAACTAGGAAGCGTCGAGGGTGGCAGTGGTGTTGGCAAAAGGGTAAGGGAAAAGGGAGTAGATTGGAGTCACAGGGTAGGTTGGAAGGGTGGGTGATGGCTGGTTTAGAGTTTGGAAGAATGGGGCAGTCGGGACAGTTGTAGGGAAGGGTGGAGAAACAGACGGTTGGAGGTGTTGGGAAGAGTGGGTTAGCAGGTGGTAGGTCTGGGACGGTGTGGTGGGAGCGACTGTTGGACGTAGGGAGGTTGGCGGGTAGGAGAAAAGGGGAAGGAAGTTTTGGGGAAGGAAATGAGGTGGGAGGTGTGGTAATGTAGTAAAAGTGAGGTGGTAGAGAAGGTGGGCGTGTTGCTTGGAAGGGCTATCACTGACTGGAATGAAGATAGTGGTTGGAACAGGGTATGGCTAGCAATCTGGCAGCAGTTGAAGTGGGAGATGGGAGATGGGAGATGGGAGATGGGAGGGGGAGGGGGAGGGGGAGAGGGAGAGGTAATTACCACTTTGGTAGAAGATACAACTGTAGAACCACCAACTCCTTGGATAAAACCCTAAAAATAGAAAAATAACTCCACACAGATATTTGAAACAGAAACTCAAAATATAAATGACATCACCCTTAAAAAGAAAAAAATAGCATATAGATAATGACTAGTAGATAAAATAGGAACTGTTTCATCCTCGTTCGTCTTCGTCGCCAGTCTTTCTCCCTCACGTCGCAACGACTCTGTCGTCCTGTGGTTTCGTCGTCCCGTTTCAGCGGCTCTCAATTGCCTCTCGCTGCGGCTTTTAAGAGACGTCTGGGCGCGGGCTTCTGCTGCTCGTCGTCATCCCGAGAAGTCGTGCTTGGGGGCGTCTCTTAGCTGTCGCTAGCTGGTTGTCTGTAGCTCACAGAGGGGCTTTCCTCCGTCACTTGCTCCCTGTTTGGTTTTGTCATTTGCTCTCTGCACCTCCATATGGCTTCGGACAGATCGTATGTTGCTGCCCTTGCTGGTGCCCAAGCCTCAGGTACACCTAAACCGTGCTCTTTTCCTCATTCATTTGAGTGAGAGGAGGACATAAAAAACCTGGCAGGAAGAATGAAAAATCTGTCATCTTTTTTACAGAAGCTAAAGGTATTTAACTTTCTTCCTCCAGTCGTCTGAATTTGGTCGGGAAATTTTTGTATGGACATCCCAGAATAGAGCTGATTCGTAAGGAATTTAAGGTTATGCACCTTGTTGAGGAGTGGAAAGTTAGACTTTTAGATGGAAGACATTCTTATTCAACTTAATAATGAAGAGGATTACACTTGTTTATTTGTCAGAAGGATTATCTAGATTGATAACAGAGCAATGATGATTCTGAAATGGTCTGTGAATTTTAACTCACATACGGAATCACTAATCATTCTGATTTGGATTTGCCTCCCTGCTTTGAAATTTTATTATTTCACTCAAAAAGCGTTGTACTCTATTGCCTCAGCTTATGGTAAGCCACTTAAAACAAACACTCCTACTTTTAATCTTTCCCGCCATCTGAAGCCAGAGTACTTGTTGAAAGAGAGATCACTTCATCCTCTTCTGAGGAGATTTGGTTGAGCACACAACACCATGTATATTAGAAAAAAAGTAGTGATTGAGCCTTTTTCTTCTTATTGTTCGAACTGTCGTATGTTCGGCCACGCCAGTTCTCAATGCCGTCATCTACCCCCCAACTTAGACCAAAAAAGCAAAGCGCTCCTCCAGAGGCAGAGAATCTAGCTCCTCTTGTTCAGCTCCAAGTTATTTACAGTATTGATCATCAAAATGATACCCCTGGAGACGTCACTAACCTCGCAGGCAATATGTCAACCATTCAGTATTCATACAATGTTGTAGTTCCCCCATCTTTGGAACCTCCAATCGTGGGAGCGAGGGAGATTCTTCAGACTTTACTTGCTCTAGAACCTATCACTGATATTACAGGTGACAATACTTCTACTGCTTCACTATCGCCTCATCAGTTCAGGCAAAATGTTAATGTTTTGAGGCTCATGGGAATCATGATGTGCAACAGCCTACACCTGTTCGGCCATCTTTGGAACAATCCATTGATCAGATGAGTCAATCCTCGGACCAGGAATGACAGGTCTACACATCCAAGAGGAAGAAGAAGATGAAGACCTACTTGAGCTTCGGAATCTGATGGACGATACTTTGGCTACTTCGGGTAATGGTACGCACCTTACCAATCTGTTAGTCGGCTCTCTTCCGAGGCTAGAGGCAGAGTGAAGACTAAAGCGGGACGTCCCTAACACTTTTGCGCCCGTTGGTGTCTTTTTGGTTTTTTATACTTTTGTATCTTTGCTTTATTTGGAGTTGCGTGTTGTCTTGTGTGAGTTGGGCTTTCTTTTAGGTCATCTCATGCAAACTATCTGTATTTTTTCCTCTTTAATATATTAGCCCTTGGGCTTTTTCAACAAATATATATATATAGGGAACCCCGTAGACTATTTTATTGCTCCAAAAAAGTTGTTTATAAGTTTTCTAGATGAGCAGATACCTCTACCAAAGCCAAAATAAGTACAAAGCACGCTCTTAGGGTTCCACTACCTTGAGTACAACCACACAGTGAAAACTCCAAAATACAAGTAACCTAAAACATAAAAGAAAGATTCCAAAATGCACGTACAAGTAAACCCCGGTAACAACAGTAACTAAAAAAAAAAAAGAAAAAAACTTAATAGCTCTATAGACCAGTTGAAGTTCCTTCATTGCATCCTCTCATATGTGATGTATTTCTCCAGTATCGACCCCACCTAAGCATCCAACAGAAGCCCTCGTAGACCAAGCTCACACCAAGGATCAAAACATATCGTTAAATCAAGTTTCCAACTGTAACAACAATAACTAAAAAAACTAAAAAATAGTAGATCATAAAACGACTAGCCCAAAAAAGAAAGACATCAATATACGCCAGCAAGCAAACCAAACCAAGCTTCCACACCAACCAGCTTTAATTCCCACCAAAATTAGAAAATAAACTGAGGCATAAAAACCCCACCAACCATCTCCTCCGCAATAAATATTACCAGCTTCCAGACATAGCAACTCAGCAAAGTTGGTAGATCAAGGCTCCTGAAGCCAACAACTCCTCATCAGCTCCAAAATTAACCTTAGCCAGCATCCCAGATAGCCAGCCAAACCATCCCCTAACTCACCCCAAAAGCCAGCCAGACTCAAAGCCAACCGCTCAATACAATAACAAAATCAGACCAATATTCCACGCCAGCCCCTGATTAGATCATAATCATCAGGTAAGCAATCCGGTAAGCAATTTCCCTCAAAATTGAAATATCAGTAGTGTTGGATATAGCAGCAATATCAGACCAGACCATTTGTCTCGTTGGTTAATATAACTTAAATAAACCAAATCAGTATTACCCAGTTATTCTCATCTCCCAACAATAGAAATTCCCCTCAACCTCCAACAACCAATAATAAAAGTATGTATATGTATATATTTTCTAAATGTAAGTATATGTCAATTCATATACTATAGCTTAAAAAATCATCAACCTCAGCACTAGAGTGCCCAACCCAGCAATAACACCTGTCAAAATTTAAAAGCTACCAACCATCTCGTCAGCTAAAAGGAACCGCCCAACCCCCAAAGCAAGCTCTACCCCAAAACATGGCCATTCTTCAATTTCAGAAAGGAACCAAGGAAGTTCCAGACCCAGTCAATCTCAATATATATTGATAATTAGTATAAACTATAAAATATAGAATTTTAGAAAATTTGTTTGGAATGTTTTTGTGAAGAGCAAAACATGAGTTATACAATTTGTAAGACTTAACCTTTTACCTTTAGGGAGTTTTGAGTATTGCCTTTTCATTTATATTACGATACAGACTTTTAAACTCTAAGGAGCTAGAGTACATATCAGCATAGATGTGGCAAAATTTTGTACGCATTGCAATTTTAACAAAAAACTTATAGTGCAAGTTTTTATTTACAATTGTTTTGTTATCATAGTTAATTTATTTAACTGCATAAAGTTAATTTAAACTAACACACCCTAAATTCAAATTAGAAGGCCAAATTCGTGTGCATTTATGTTTCATCGGTTGTGCTTTCTCTTTTGTCTTCACTTTCTTTCTAATTAAGTGAATAATTTTTCATAACAAACACTTTGTGCAGATGCTGATTTACGTTTGTCAAGGAGGATACGCCGTGACACCCTTGAAAAGGGTAGGGATGTAAAGACTGTACTAGATCAGGTATTATCAATTTCATTACATGAATTTGTTATAAAGAGATTGCGATTCTTTGATGACCAAAGTGAAATAATGTTCCGGAATAAGAATTTTTTAATTTATGCGATTACAGAGGCACTTGTAGTTCTAATAAGTTTAGTATTACATTTTGGGCGAATTATGCTAGTACTGGGGCACTTATGGGTTTTCTTTAAAGAATTGATTATTAGAGTAAACTCCTGAATTGTGCTTGAGGTTTTGATTCAAACAAGTATATTAAGTTATGTGTATTGGATAACGGACGGAGTGCCTAGGACATTTTGGCAAAACTTACCAAAAATCCATTTTACCGGAAAGTATGTTTTTGATATCTGAGTCGTGCAATGTTTGTATGAATGTTTGTTGAGCTTGATGATAAAACTAGCTTGAACATATACACGTGCAATTTCTGAAGATAAATTGTCAAAAGCACTTGGTGGACATTAGTGGTTGCTTTTCTCATGATGGATATGGTGTTTTTTTTCCTTGAATTGCATATTCCTATATGTTTTTGCATCATCAGAAAATTATTATTATTATTTATGAAATATTTTAAAAGTAAAGGCTACCATGCATTTGAAAGAAGTGGTTAGATAAATTGTAAATGCCCGTTCCAGTTTTGAAAAAGATTTTGAGGTAAGCTTGTTTACGAAGGGACCAACAAGCTGGACAAATTTTATTAATGGTTATTTTTATTATTTTCAATTCATACGCTGACAACTGTAGAATAATACATGATTGCGCCTTGAATAATCACCTTCTTTATGATGTTGAGATTTGTTTATGGATTAATATGATCTTTTACTCAATGGTGCAGTACTCAAAATTCGTAAAGCCTGCTTTTGAAGACTTTATACTCCCAGCAAAGAAGTATGCTGATATTATCATGCCCCGGGGTGGAGACAATCATGTCGCAATTGATTTGATTGTCCAGCATATTTGTACAAAACTTGGTCAACATGAGCTTTGTAAAATATATCCTAATCTTTATGTCATTCAATCAACTTTTCAGGTATTCAACATATTTATGATTGTACAGTATATGTTTCATGGGTTTTGATATAACTATTTTTTGCCTGCTGTTCTCGTAAAATCTATTTTTTTTTTTGGCTTATTCTTTGGAACGTTGAACAGATTCGTGGCATGCATACAATAATACGTGATGCCCAAACAACAAAACATGATTTTATATTTTATTCTGATCGATTGATACGGTTGGTTAGTATCTTTCCACTTCGTTACTTTTATGGTGTTCTCATGTGTGCTTTCTTCTTAATCTTTTTGACTGTTGAATAGGTCGTTGAACATGGTCTTGGGCATCTTCCTTTCCAAGAAAAGCAAGTAATTACTCCAACAGGTGAGCATGTGCTTTTTTATATGAGTTAAATATTAGCCCTTCATTCCAGTAGATAGAGGTTTTTGTTTGTTCATCGATATTGCTGGATGTCCTATTCTAGTTGGAAATGACATAATAGCATATGCTATCATGTCTATAAAAGATATGTCCTTTGCACTAATTAAATTATTGATTTTCATTTTATAGAAATATCTTTATCATTTCATGATTTATAGATATGTTTTCTATGTCATTCTGGTTTGGTAATTTTTCCTCTTTCATGCTAGAGCTTTCAGAATTCATCTTTCTGTTAGAGCCTCTAAAATTAACCTAAATATACATGTATCAAACCAAAACGTATACCCAAAAAAGTAATGTATACCTTCTATGAGCAGTATATCAAAAGAAACAAAGATAATAGAATCTGTATGCCAACCAACGACATCTCGAAAGCATGAAATCGCAGCATGACCTAAAGAGTCCAAAACCTGCAACTCAAAAAGACTGAAAAAACAGTAAAGAAAGTATAAATCCAAGTAGTTAGAATCGAAATAGTGGTCCTCATTCCTCCAAACCCCCAAGCAGCAAAGACAATCCAACCGGGCCTAAAAATCCCACCCGTAAAACCAATCCTATTGTTGTATCCCTCAAGTGTCATATCTCCAATATACAACCTCCAAACCATCATCACAAATGTAGCAAAGGAGCCCTAGGCCTCCATGCTTAAAATATAAAACCAAACAAAAAACACCCAACACAGTCCCCCAGCCTGTAACCAGAGAAAGTCCCCAGCTCCACAACCACAACCACCAACAAATAGGGAGCCCTGGGCCTCCCCAATAAAAATAGATACACCCAACACAGCTCCCCAGCCTGTAACCCAAGAAAACCACTAGCTCGACAACCACAACCAACAACCAATAGGGAGACCTGGGCCTCCCAAACAAGCATGCAATTCTCATAATGTAGATTATAATCAACATCATGATCTTGAATTTGAAAAACATAACAAGTTGCACATGCAAAAATAAAATTACATGGGATAATAATTATCCTACGATAACAAAACTTCATCATATATTTTTAGATTATTATCATTTTAGAATTGATTGAAGTGCCAAAATAGTCCTGAACTTGTTAAATCGAGTTGTTTTAGTGCAGGAGTTTATAAAAGTGCAAAAATAATCTTTGAATATTTTAAAATTGAGCTTGAATGGTTCTTCATGAAGACTATTTCAGCCCTAATTTAAATAGTCTCGGAATTATTTTAGCATTGCTTTAAACTATGGGACTAAAAATATTAGATGTAAATAGATCGGGACTATTTTTACACTTTACTATTTTAGAATGATATTTGACACTACACCGACGTCCGGGTGTAGTATCAAATAAGCAAGGGTTCTCACATTACGAATGGATGCGGGTTAAAAAGTTAATCCATAAAACTAATGAAATTAATATCAGAATAAGATCTTGGAATATAAGTTCTCTTAATGGTAAATTAAAGGAATTAGTTGATATTATGATTCATAGAAAGATTAATATCTTATGTATTCAAGAAACTAAATGGGCTGGAGAAAAAAATAACGAGATTGATAACTTAGGTCTTAAACTTTGGTATTCTGGTAAGAGCCACATTAAAAATGGTGTAGGTGTAATTATAGATAAGAGTTTGAAGGTAATGTTGTAAAAATTAATAGAGTTGGAGATAGAATTATAGCTCTTAAGATTATCATTGATAGTAAGATTTTTAATATTATAAATGCTTATGCTCTTCAAGTAGGTTTAGATATAGGTCTAAAAATAAATTCTGGGATAACTTAGAAGACTTAATATAAATAATACCTCTTGAAGAAAGAATTTTTAGTGGAGGAGATTTAAATGGACATGTCGGTAGAGTGGTAGAAGATTTTAGAAATATTAATGGTGGCTATGGTTTTGGAGTGACTAATGAAAAAAGTTGAGCTATTTTAGATTTTGCTTTAGCGTATGAAATGACTTATAAGACTTAATACAAATGATATCTATTGAAGAAGATTTAAATGGACATGTCGGTAGAGTGTAGAAGATTTTAGAAATATTCATGGTGACTATGGTTTTAGAGTAACTAATGAAGAATGTAGAGCTATTTTAGATTTTGTTTTAGCGTATGATTTTGTTATTACTAATATTTTATTAAAAAAAGATATGGACATCTTATTAGTTATAAGAATGGATCTAATAAAACACAAACTGATTATTTTCTTATGAGAAGAAGAGATCGTCAATATTATAAAGATTGTAAGGTCATTCCAAGTGAGGATTTAAGTACCCAACATCGTTTATCAGTTCTAGATTTTAAGATGAGGTATTCTAGTAGAGTTACACTAGGACTCATCATCGTAAAATTAGATAGAGAAACTTAAAAGACAAATAAAAAATTATTTTTATGAGTTAAATTCAAGATTTTAAAATTTGGGATGTTCATAAGGATGCAAATGTTAAGTGGGATAAAGTAACAAACACTATTAAACAAGTAGCAAAAGATATAATTGGAGCATTAAAAAAAAGTTTCTTTGAAAAAAAAATAGTTGGTGGTGGAATAATAATGTGCAAGAAAATATAAAACATAAGAAGTTGTGTTATAAAAATTTGTTTAATTGTAAAAGCTTAGAGAACTGAGAAAAATATCTAACGACCCGCAGGAAGTCTAAAAAGAACAATATATGTCCCACCCGTAAAACCAATCCTATTGTTGTATCCCTCAAGTGTCATATCTCCAATATACAACCTCCAAACCATCATCACAAATGTAGCAAAGGAGCCCTAGGCCTCCATGCTTAAAATATAAAACCAAACAAAAAACATGTAAAGTGTATTAAAGATAAAAATCAAAAAGTACCTTTTTTAGAAAAAAGATATTCAATATAGGTAGATGAGTTACTTTGATAAATTTTTTAATGAAGTTTCCAATAAAAATAGATACACCCAACACAGCTCCCCAGCCTGTAACCCAAGAAAACCACTAGCTCGACAACCACAACCAACAACCAATAGGGAGCCCTGGGCCTCCCAAACAAAACGCAATAGATATAGCAAAGGAGTCCTGGACCTCCATGCCAATGATTAAGTACCCTTAATCACAACAAACAAAATGATAAATAGCCATATTCCCAGAGCATCGCACCTCCAAATTACCCAAAAATGAGTGAGTGAGAGAGAAGTACAACCTAATTAAAACATGGGCCGATCCAAGCCAGTCGGCCACCCATAATTCATCAAGATGAGACATTTATATGAATAAAAGGAGCATCAATATTATCACCAACCAACAGAGTATAAAGGGTAGGGGGGAGTAGGTCCCACCCTACAAATTTGACTAGAGCCACCCAAATTAACAAGCTAATTCGCGGGTTGATTACCCTCCCGATAGATGAAATTCCATATAACATTCATATTATAAACTAACCCTTTAATCCTCCTAATATAATAAAGAATATCCCATGGGGTGTCGGCATCAATTGTTAAAATATCAATCAAGATACGATTGTCACATTCAAAAATAATATACTTCCAATTGAGAGAATGAGCTAATAATGCAGCAGTTAAAATAGCTCGAGTCTCAGCCTCAATAGGGGAGTCCGCATAAGGAGAAAAGAAGAAGAGTATACACTTTCTGTGGTGATTCCTAGCAATGCCCCCACATCCAGCACTAGAGACTTTCCAACTCCCAATATTAAATTTAATCCACCCTCTAGGGGGTGGAGTCCATTTGACCAAGGTAGGTGGAGGACGAAGATAGAAAAGTTCAAAACGAGCGAGCGAAAACAGATACCTATTTCGAGCTAGGGTTTGCTATGAGCGGAAACCCTAGCAGAACGAAGAAGACCCATCATATCAATGATATATGGCGTTGAATGTTGGCCTTTAAAAGAGAAGCATAATAATAAGTTAAGTGTTGACGAGATGAGAATGATTAGGTGGATGAGCCAAACATATAAGTTTAACTTTTAAATAATTTTTTTTTTATTTTACTTATAACATTGTTGTTGCCGATCCCAAGCCCGGATGTGAAAAGTGGAGGGGTGCGTTAGGGAGTCGAGATTACGTTAGGTAGTTGACAGCCAACGTAAAACTTGTCAAAAATGTGACATGAATCCTTTTGATCATTGTGTAAGTGCTAGGGCGTCCCCTGGAAGGGACGCGCTGTATAGCCTGAATACAGTGAAAAGTGTGCAAGGGCCGCTACACCGGCGCCCGGGTGTAGTGTTAAATGTTAAATAAGCAAGGGAAGTTAGTCCATAAAACTAATGAAATTAATATTGGGATAGGATCTTGGAATATAGATACTCTCAATGGCAAATTAATGAAATTAGTTGATATTATGATTCATAGGAAAATTAATATCTTATATATTCAAGAAGCTAAAGTGGGTTGGAGAAAAGGCTAAGGAGATTGATAATTTAGTTGGTATTCTAGTAGAGTTACACTAGGACTCATCATCGTAAAATTAGATAGAGAAACTTAAAAGACAAATAAAATTATTTTTATGAGTAAAATTCAATATTTCAAAATTTGAGATATTCATGAAGAAGCAAATGTTATGTGGGATAAAGTAACAAACACTATTAAACAAGTAGCAAAGATATGCTTGGAGAATCAAAAGAAAAAGTTTTTATAAATAAAAATAGTTGGTGGTGGAATAATAATGTGTAAGAGAAGAAAAAATATAAGAAGTTATGTTATAAAAATTGGTTTAAATGTAAAAGCTTAGAGTACTGGGAAAAATATCAAACGACCCGCAGGGAGTCTAAAAAAACAATCTGTGACGCAAAAAATTATGCATTTAATGATCTTTATAATAGATTAGATACTAAGGATGGTGAAAAATATATGTATAAACTAGCCAAATAATGAGAAAAGTAAAGTAAAGATTTAACTCATGTAAAGTGTATTAAAGATAAAAATCAAAAAGTACCTTTTTTAGAAAAAAGATATTCAACATAGGTAGATGAGTTACTTTGATAAATTTTTTAATGAAGTTTCTGAAAATACGATCTACCTTAGCAATCTTAATATCGTGAATAATAATAAAACGTTTCATTTTTACTGTTGCATTAATAAAAAAGAAGTTGAGGAGGCTTTAAAGAAAACCAAGGTTGGAAAGTCTGTAGGACCTGATGTATCCCAATTGAAGTGTGGAAATATTTGGGAGATTTGGGAGTTTCTTGGCTTACTAAACCCTTTAAATATTATTTTAAAAACTAAAAAGATGTCTGATGAGTGAAGGAAGAGTATTTTGGTCCCCATTTTTAAGAATAAAGGGATGCACAAGAGTGTGCAAATTATAGAGGAATTAAGTTGACGTGTCATACTTTAAAGTTATGGGAGAGGGTAATTGAACATAGGTTAAGACGCATCACAAAGATTTCTCATAATCAATTTGGATTTATGCC